AGTAAAATTTGACCAATTCAAATATATAAGGGATTTCATATCAAAAAGAAGTTAAGGGTAGAGGCAATAAAGTGCTGGCTATACTTCTCAGTTAAGTTTGAAATGAATTTTTTGGTTGATGTCTTTAAAAGAATAATGCAACTGTTGTCTGTTGACTTCCACTATTTGGATCTATTATTCTCTTGCTGATAACATTCAATGCCATCATACTTTATTTTTTATTCATTTATTTGTTTACTTCTACCGATCTTTGTTAACCTAACCACTACTGACTCCAGAAGTTTCTGGTTAGAGAGAGGCATTTTTGTGCTCTTCAATATTGAAAAAAAATGGTCATTTCATAGATTCGAGTGTTGTGAACTTCAATCAATTTTATTAGTGGTTTTGACCAAAACACAAAGTATTAGATGTGACAAGAATATATGATATGATATGATATTTTTATATATAATATAGCTCATATACTCTGTTCATAGTTATATGTCTCTCCATCTTGTATACTAATTTTCCAAAATAGGTAAGGCGCATTTCCATAGCGTGTGCCGCACCCTAATGTTCCATGTGAGTGTGAATCAATCCACCTCTTGCACACTATGGCATTCCTGATTGGATATATATATATATATATATATAGCATAACCCTCATTAGCGAGATTAAGGATGTTTTTGGAATAATTTTCTATCTTTAGTTGCCTTAGATTCTACTCAATTAGGGGCCATGCTTGTCTTGTGTCATATTACTTGTGTTTCATATTAGCATCATCCAACTTTAAACCTCACAGGTTGGTTTCCTAGGATTGTTTTTTAAAACCTATTTTTTTTTTATAAATTGTTTTTATGATGATGAAAGAATATGGCATAATCAAATGGATGAAATTGCTTGATTATTCACTTTTGAGTAATATTAGACACCTTAAAAATTTTATCAATTTTTTTTTTTTTTTAAATATTTCACAGAGGTACAGGATTCACCTAAAATCCACATGATCTGATTTAATAAAACTTTTGACATTTTTTTTCACTTTCCTCTAACCTTAGTTTTGCTTTTGCTTTGGGCCCACCAGTCAACTTCCTTACACATTGTAGATGTACTAAAATTGTTAGAAAGTAAGTGAGGCCTGTTTGGGATATGGCTTTTTTGAATTTTTTTTTATTAAAATAATTAATAAAGATAAAATAGATTAAAATAATTAATAAGATAAATTATTATATTTAAATCATAATTATTTTATTTTTTCTCTCACAACTATTAAATCAATTATAAAAAAAATCATCATTTTAAATATAACTTTTTTAGCTAAGTAAAATAGTTAAATAATTAAAAAATTAACTTAAATAATCAAGTTTTCAAACCGAACATGAAGCATGGTAGAAACATGACATAAAAAGTTTGAAAGATAAAAAATTTGGCTTTGTTTGGTTGTATTTTCTAAATATATTTCTGCCTTTTTATTTACGTTTGACGTTTGTTTATGATTTTTAAATATCAAATGTCATATGTCACATTAAAAAATTTTCACTCAATTCAAAACTCTTTTCAAAATTTTTTCACTAAACAAATTTTTCACACTCAAATCATAATTCAAAAACTCATAAACTCAAAATGCAACTTCTATTCTTAAATCATATTTAGAAAACTCTACCAAACACTATCTTAGATGCTCACCAAGAATTTTATCAAATTATTCCTCAACAGCCAATATTTTTACAAGAATAATACTACCAATTCATCTTTAAATTTTTTTCGTATGGTTCAAATTTATTTTACACATGAATCTCACACTACACAAATTTAATCACCACCATACAAACACCTATCTAGAAAATTCTAAGTGGGCAAGTCTAGGTCTCTAGAGTTTTCCTTTTTACAATTAGTCCAGATTTTTAGAAAAATGTTTGGGGGTCTGAAATCAAGGGCTCGAATTTGGCTCGAAACGCAAAACGACGTCGTTTTGCGTTTCGAATTTTTTTTTTCCCTTTTTCTTCCTTTTCTTTTTTTCTTTCTTTTCTTCTTCTTCTTCGTTTGAACACAAGCGAGAGAGAAACAGAGGCGAGAGAGAGTCGTCGTCGTCATCGCAGCTCGTCGTTATCGTTGCAGCTCGTCGGCCGATCGTCACAGATCGTCGCTCGTCGCTCGTCGCATCGCAGCCCCGCCTCCGCCTCCGCCCCCATTTTTATGGCCCCCTCCAGTTCTGTTTCTCCTTCTTCTTCTTCTTCCTCTTTCTCTTTTTCTTCTTCCTCCTTCTTCCTTCTCAAATTCGAGCCAAATTCGAGCCCCCGGTTTTCGAGCTCTGTACCGGGGCTCTATTTCAAATGACAAATTTTTTCAACTTTATTAATAATAAGATGGATGGAAGAGTGTGATTGCAATTTGACTCAAAATGTGAAGGGTTGACTATTACAATTAAAAGTGAATAGACCAAAGTGAAATTTTGATAAAAATAGAGAGGTTACTAAGTGTAATTTGTTTATTTATTTATTTATTTTAATAATTGCACTCATTGCTTTATTATGACTTAGGATTGATTTTTTTTTATTTGTTTGTTTTTTGGGCAGATACCATGGTTTAAACCATTAGTTTTTGAATTTTGTCTTTTTTTATTATTATTATTATTTTTTTTTTTAGTTTGATTAGCAAGGAAATTTTTTTTTGTCCTTGTTTAGTAGACTTAAAAGTGCTCCGTAAGTTTTTTTTTTCCCTTTTTCTTCCTTTTCTTTTTTTCTTTCTTTTCTTCTTCTTCTTCGTTTGAACACAAGCGAGAGAGAAACAGAGGCGAGAGAGAGTCGTCGTCGTCATCGCAGCTCGTCGTTATCGTTGCAGCTCGTCGGCCGATCGTCACAGATCGTCGCTCGTCGCATCGCAGCCCCGCCTCCGCCTCCGCCTCCAGTTCCATTTTTATGGTCCCTTCCAGTTCTGCTTCTCCTTCTTCTTCTTCTTCTTCTTCTTCTTCCTCTTCCTCCTTCTCTTCTTCTTCTTCTTCTTCCTCTTTCTTCCTTCTCAAATTCGAGCCAAATTCGAGCCCTGATTTTCGGGCTCTGTACCGGGGCTAAGATTTTTATGTTTGCCTCTCCAGTTGCCTATTTATCTTAACTCAATTATGTTTAGATTTTAAATTTAAAAATGAATTTATGAAGAGAACCTAAGAGTTAGGACAAAAAGATGAGAAGAGATTCAAATAAAAAATCTCGACATGATGAGATTTTACAAATTTCTTATTATTTTACAAATTTCTTATCAAATTTAAAATTTAAACACAATTTTAAAATTATTTTGTGCAAACGCTATCAAAAAAAAAATAATTATAAACATAATCTATAAATCAAACCAATATATTTTTACAACACAAAAAAATCAACACATGAGATGTTGAGATATTTTCTTATAATAAAGCTCTCATATTTAACACATTATAGTAATTAAGAATAAATTAAACATGAGGTGCCTATAAATTTTTCTATAACAAAACTCCCATATTTAACACACTAGCAATTAAATAGCTCATACAAATGAGTTATATATACAAACCTCATCTGCAAATCATAAATATTCATTAAATTCATAATATTTTTACAATACATAAAAATCAAACATGAGAAATTGAGATATATTTTCTTATAATATAGCTCTCATATTTAACACATTACGAAATTAAGCATAAATTAAACATGAGATGTCTAGATATTTTCCTATAACAAAACTCACATATTTAACACACTACCAATTAAATCACTTATACAAATTATGTTGAATAAAAAATTATCAGATGTGTCAAGAATTTAACATGACCATATATCCGTCCAATTATTAATAATCATATATTGAAAATATTTATATTTTTTTCAAAAGTAACTGCATGTTCTCTTATTATTAGAGGAACACATCGCAATATATTATTTTGTAAAACACTAGATAATTAAATATCGACACATTTTTTTAAAACTCACATAAAATAAAACAAACTACACAAAATCGTTGCCGACTACTTCTCAACCTCCAATCATCAAGCTCATTTTTTTCCCCCTAATTAACCATGGTTACTTTTTGAACTCTAAACCCACTAACCACAGTCGACACGTGCAGTTAAGGATTTAGAGAGCAGAAGCAACGCCCTCTCACCTCTCTCGCTCTCTCTCTCTCTCTCTCTAAAAATTTCACTTTGCTAGAAACGGAGAAAAGTTCTCTCTCTCTCGTTGTTGTTGTTCAAACTACCGATCGTTTGTTTTCCGGGAAAATTAAAAGTTTTCTCAATTGGGTTGTCACCGTTGGGGAATATTTTCGGTACAAGATTGTTACGTTATCCTGTTTATCAACAGCCAATAATGGTTTGTACCCTCTTTCAATTTTGTGCTTTCTGTGTTTTTACATACATGCATATTTATTTTTAGTTTAATTTGATTTGGGTTTTGTTGTTTCTAGCTGTTGAGCTTGTGAGATCTGAGAAAATTGAGCTATGACCGAATGGGTGTTGAAAAAGAAGATGTATTGGAGTGTGACAACTAAGATGCGTTTGTTCTTGACTTGCTTGTTCATATCTTGAACGTATTGGATTTGAATTCATTTCAGTCTGTTTTGGTTGTTTTGTTACATAGATTTGAACTGGGTATTGAAATTTCAATTCTGTTTTGGTTGGTTTGGGTATAGATTTCAACTCTGTTTTGACTGTTTTGATTTGAACTGGGTATTGAAATTTCAAGTCTTTTTTGGTTGAAGTGGCATAGATTTGAACTGGGTATTGAAAAATCAAGTCTGGTTGTTGTTTTGGTAATAGATTTGAACTGGGTATTGAAATTTCAAGTGTTTTTGTTTCTGGGTGGTTCTTTGTTTTTTAATTTTTCGGGTGTTTTGAGATGAAAGTAGAGTTGGGTATGGGGGCTTTGGTTTGGAGTGAGGAAGACAAGGCTATGGTGGCGGCGGTTTTGGGCAGTCGAGCTTTCGATTACTTGATGTCGAGCTCAGTCTCGGCTGAATGCTCGTTGATGGTGGTGGGGAGTGATGAGAATTTGCAGAATTTTCTTTCGGATCTGGTGGACCGCCCCAACACCGCCAATTTCAGTTGGAATTATGCATTTTTCTGGCAAATTTCACGTTCCAAGGACGGTGATTTGGTTTTAGGATGGGGAGATGGGTCTTGTAGGGAGCCGAAGGAGGGGGAAGAATCGGAAGTTACACAAATTCTCAATTTTCGACTCGAGGATGAGACCCAACAAAGGATGAGGAAAAGGGTACTTCAGAAATTGCACACACTGTTTGGGGGATCAGATGAAGATAGTTATGCCTTTGGATTGGACCGTGTGACCGATATTGAAATGTTCTTTCTAGCATCCATGTACTTTTCGTTCCCTCGTGGGGAAGGCGGCCCCGGGAAGTGTTTTGCATCTGGGAAGCATATTTGGCTCTCAGACGCGATGAAGACATCGTCTGACTATTGTTTCAGATCATTCCTTGCAAAGTCCGCGGGTATCCAGACCATTGTTTTGATCCCAACTAAGATTGGAGTAGTTGAATTTGGGTCGGTGAGATCTATACCAGAGAGCTTAGAGTTGGTGCAGTCAATCAAATCATCATTTTCAGCATTTTCATCACCTATCAGAGCCAAGCCAATGGCAGTTATTCCAGTTATGAGCCAGAAGAAAGACGGAAATGCCCATTTCACCAATTTAGGCGTTGGTGATCGATCAAATGGGGTGGTTCCGAAGATTTTTGGGCAGGATTTGAACTCCGGCCATTCCCAATTTAGGGAAAAGCTTGCTGTTAGGAAGACGGAGGAGAGGCCGTGGGAAGCGTTCTCGAATGGGAATCTGATTCCATTCCCAAATGCTCGAAATGGACTTCATGGTTCGGGTTGGACTCAATTTCGTAGTGTGAACCAAGGGGCCACAGTTGAAACTTACAGTCCTCAGGCTGCAACAAACAATCTACAAGAGCTTGTCAATGGTGTCAGTGGTGTTAGGGATGAGTTTCGGCTTAACCAATACCAACCCCAAAAGACGGCACCAATGCAAATTGATTTTACAGGCGGCGCTACTTCAAGGCCTTCTATAATTTCCAGGCCAGTTAGCATTGAGTCTGAGCATTCAGATGTCGAGGCTTCTGGCAAGGACGAGCGGGCAGGGCCAGTCGATGAAAAGAGGCCTCGGAAACGGGGACGAAAGCCCGCGAATGGAAGAGAAGAGCCGCTCAACCATGTGGAGGCAGAGAGGCAGCGGCGAGAGAAACTAAACCAAAGGTTCTATGCATTGCGAGCTGTTGTGCCCAATATTTCGAAGATGGACAAAGCCTCACTGTTGGGAGATGCCATAGCATACATCACCGAGCTTCAGAGGAAGCTCAAGGACATGGAATCAGAGAGGGAAAAATTGGGGAGCACATCGATAGATCAATCATCACCTGCTTTGGAGGCCAACCCAAATTCAGAAAATCAAAACCAAGTTCCAGGCATCGAAATCAAAGCTGCTCACGATGAAGTTGTTGTGAGGGTTAGTTGCCCTTTGGATACCCACCCAGTATCAAGAGTCATCCAAGCATTCAAAGACGCTCAAATCACGGTTGTTGAGTCGAAACTCGCTACTGGGAATGATACGGTGTTTCACACATTTGTGATCAAATCCCAAGGATCCGAACAGCTCACAAAGGAAAGATTGGTTGCAGCATTTTCACGCGAATCCAACTCATTACAGCCTTTATCGTCAGTTGGGTAATAAGAGAAATCGCATTTTTAACATAGTTTGTAGTGAAGAACCAATTCAAAAGCTTCTTCTGCAGAGAGGTTTTGATATACAGAGCAAGGGATTATCATAAAAGGGAACAGCAATGGCAGCTAGAAGTAGAAAAAAATAACTACCTATTGACCAAGTAGGGCAGCAATTTTCTATGTTTGTTTATAGTATATACATATTTTCTGTCATAAGGAAGTATTCTTGCAAGATGAATTAAATTTGTAAGTTCAATCAACTCTACCTTTGTTGCTTGTTTAGAAGCAGATAATTTTGCTTTGTTATTTTATTTATTTATTTTTATTTTTTTGTGAGTTGTTTCTTTGATCATACCCAAATCTATGTTTTCTTATGAGCTTTGTTCCATCATTTGCATAGTCATTCAAATCTCGAATTACAATTGTGCAGTTGAGAATACATTGGGGATTTTCATTCTGATTCTGATTTAAAATGGCATGATGTATAATAGTCAACGAGGCTATGATCTTGTTTATTTATTATATTTTGTTTATCATCTTATCCGTAACATATACGAGTTGTGAGGTAATTCGACCAAAAAAATTATAGTAGATGATAATATACAAATGTGATCATCTTAGTATTATCGACAATTATGTGCATCTAAGTGAGTAATATGTACATAATTACTATAGTTGTATTATGCACATAGAAAGAATTTTACAAAATTAGACACAAATATATATCGATGTTTGCATATATAGTTATAAATATTTTGTTTCACATTTGCTCATTCTATATTCAATACCTAACTGTGCACGTAGACTTTTTCTATGTTCATGGATGAGCATTTTGTTGTTCTATCAAAGTTATTTCCATATTCAAAAGTTCTCATTAATTGAGTGAACAAATATGTATGAAATTTCAAGATTCATGAAAGACAAATTTGTGGAATATAATAAAAAGTGAGAGGGAATAACAAGGAGGTGAAGATGGTGATGATCAAGAAAAGTCCTTGATAGCATAAATATTTTGACAATAAAATGTTTGAATTGCATTATTCTATGATTTTTTTTTTCCTTGATATGGTATAAATTTTGAGTGTGTACAATTAGGTCTCATGTTAGACCTAACTCTTATTTAATCATTAGTAAATTGTTTTTTGCAACGTTTTTGGTGGCTATATCTTGATGGTCTCTTACCAACCAACATGTTTTTCAGGTGGACAAAAATGGTATTTTACCCTTGACCTTAGCTGTACAATTTCATTTATTTCAAAACTACAAATCTTGAAAAACAATTTTGTTTTTCAATAATGGATTGATTTACTTCAATTTTACCTAACTTTGATTTTAGGTTTTCCTTGTCATTGATTAATGGTGGAAAATTATCTTTCAATTCCACGTACAACAATTTTTTAAAGAAAATTTTATCCATACATAAAATTCTACGAGAATGATATAATAATATCATTATAGTAAACAATTACATCGTCAATGGTGCTTTGTTTTAAAATGAATAATTCATAATAAGCCACATTATATATGAATTTTTTTGTTTGTATAGCATTACTCATTTTTAAAAGGCCTATTTGGTATTGTTTTTGAAAACTATTCTGCATTCTAAAAAATAAAAAAAATAAAAAACAAAATGCAAAACAATGCAAAAGATTATTTTCATGTTCAAAAGAGAGAGAATAAATTCAAAAAGCAATGCAATAATTTTTATTTTAATTTTTAAAAAAACAGTACTATTTTAGGAAATTATTTCACTTTCGTTGGAATGAAGATAAATTTCTTTTCAAACTCTCCATTGTTTTAATTTTTACTTCCATCTACATATATTATACTTTGAATTTCTTCTCTCTCTCTCTCTCTCTCTCCATTTTCTTGGCAAACAAACAAGTCTAGCTTGAATGAACTGAAATAGAAAAGGAACAAGAATAAATCATGTTCTAAAATTTAAGGCCATTGCTTTTTCCTATAAAGGGAATTGAGGTATCTCCAACGTTGGGAGAAAAGAACATCAAGAGAAAAAAAAGGAAAACAAAAAAAAGAAAAAGATGATAAAGCCTATGGTTGCTATTTGCGGACATAGTAACCAATGATCTTTGAATTAGAATAAAGCAATATGAGACTACTAAAGATTCAATTTTGCGAGTGTTCACACATTTTGAAGAACAATCTTTCATCAGTTACAATAGTAAAATTCACAATTTCAAACACGGACAATATACTTTTTGAATGAGGGTTCCACAATTTTATGAGCCTGGATTTGTTAAAATTAAATATCTCAATTATATGGTGAAATTGATCTATTATTTTACTAACTTTGACTCACTTTGGTAATCTAAACCATTCATCTCACACAATTAACTAAGAATATTATTCATTCTAAAAATCAAGTTAATCCAACATGATTATCATATTATTAGATAATTTTTTTTCTATACGACATATATGTTTTTAAGAATAAATTGTCAATGTGTCATAATATATATTTTTGATTTGATCATGTGATTATATATATCTGATCAATCCAATGAGCACAACGATTCAGATCATTGATATAGATTCAAATTAGTCTCAAAATAAGCTAACTTCACCCATGAAGTTGAAAATTTTAACTTTAATAAATCCAAACTCTAACTTCATATCAAGAGAATATTATGTTTTGTTCACACACTAGTGATGCAAGTTTGGAATAAAGTACGAGAGTTTTTGAATTTTCAAAGTGTTTTTATCCTATTAAGATATTTAGACGGTTCAAATTTGTTCAAATTATAAAATAATAATTGTGATATATCCTACATGTACATTTTCTACTTTTTCACTTTTCTGTCTTACTTTTCTTTTTCTCACCCACTCTCCCATGATCCCATGAATGATCTCATGAATGATCCCATGATCCCACCTTCCTCAATTTTTTTTATTTTCCTCACTTTTTTATTTTCCTCCCTATTTATTTATTTTTTTTATTTTCTCCTTTTTACTTACTTATTTTTATTCACACTGTACATTCAGGTACAGACATACACTAGTGATTGAATAATACTCATCTTTTAAGAAAATTGATACTTTACTTTTAAAATCATATTTTTTGACAAAATTTTTTAAGATAAATATAATAATATCATAAGCCTATTAATATCTAATAAATATATATATATATATATATATATATATTATTCTACAAACTCAACGACTTAGATTATGAATATAATCTGAAAGTGGGTCCCAGCATGTCAATAGAAATTGAGGCACATGTTTGGCCTTAAAATAGTAAAACAGAAAACTTGAACACAAATTAAAAATAGGGACAATAATATGAATATTAATAATAACACTGTTCTTGACGCGGTTGTTCATCAACCGACCATAGTCAATTCTAATCAAGCTCGTGCCAAACACTTCAACCAAATGCAATAATTCAAACAATAACACTGCACACACAAAAATAAATAAATAAAAATTGGGTAATTACATTACTTTTGAAAAAATTATAATAAAATCTTGTATATTTAACATAATTACTTTGATCTCTTTTTTAATAAAAATAAAATAAATAAAACTAATCCAGATGATATGTGGATAAAGATAATGTTGGAATAATCTTCATGTGTACGGTGTGAAACACGCAATCATTGCGTCAAATATGTTACCAAATTATATTTAAAAACTATAAGTTGAACAAACGTAAATTATTTGGGTAAAACCAAACCAAACTTTATACAGAGAACCAGAAATATTTATAGATATAGAAAATTTGTAAACAAATTGTAAAATTTGGAAACAAAACCAAATGTGATCGAGATTTGTGTTGGACACAATTTCTTTATGACAAATTCGTCCCTCGCTATGGTGCTCACGAGTTTTTATCGGATGTTCATCTCCCAGGATACAACGATTGAACCTTGCAGAAGTAGCACTACCACGGCAATTTTGGCAAACCTTACTGTGCAGAATTCTCTCACAGAAAAGACAGAATGCAGAAGGAAAGAAACACAAGATGAATTCAATCTTTAATGAATGCAATGGGGGTCTAATTAGATAGGTGAATTGGTGGCTCTTTGATAGGTCATGGTGACTTTTTAATGAAAAGGCACATCTCTTTTCTATGAAGAGACACAACTTTTTCATAGAATAGGTGCAAAGAATAGATATGATTGTTCTTTCAAACAGATTTGAATTTTGAATCGAATCTGGTTCAATTTTGACCCAAAAATATAACAAATAAATTAAATAAATTTTGTTTTAAAACCATACTCAAATGGTGCACTTTAGAGTTAATTTCTCATTCACTTATTAATGGTTTCCAAACCTTTTTTCCAACAATCTCCCACATGAATGAAATGATAGAAAAATAAGCAGGACTCAATGCAGACTCAAAGAGAATTCAATTAGAAATATCTGAATGGGGATAGGTAACTTTTGGCTTTGAACCTTCCTAGTGAAAGACTATTGAACTTAGTAGCTAAAAAGTGAACGTGTCTTGAACTGTTCAGCTGTTTGTGTAAACCAAAACAATAGAATTTACATAGAATATCTCCAAACACAACTTAGTTCTCATGGTTGTGCATGTTTTGGCCTTGGGCATGTCCTGGTATTTCATGAATGCTTTAGAAATTTTAGCCTTATCAATTTTCATAGAAGCGGCCCCTTCACACAAATAGGTGATCCTTATTTTGAGTCTTTTAAATGCTCCTCTTGAAAGATGCCCATCTAGATTTTTCGAGATATAAGTGATCATTAAAAGCATAACTTAGCCTAAATCCCCTACATACAACACATGTTGCAGATATCACTCTCATCATAGGAATGGATAGGAGATAGACTCCTTTAGTGATTTCTGGTGAGTCATCCATAATTTGGTTGTCCCTTTGAACCTATATCTTGGGATTTCCAGTCAACTAGGTTAGGCTGCCATTATGACGACTTAATTAGCTCTAATCACATTCCTCTCGATAAACTTTCCTTCATTTGCTATTTGGTCAAACCTTTTGTTTAGGGGCCGCTCTTTTTTGTTTGACTTTCTCAATTATATATCATTGAGTAGTTAGTGGATTCACTATATTATCCTTAGACAATATTCACAACTTAAAGCAAATGTCCACGGTATTAAATCTTTGATTACATCGAGACTTACCGTTACTCAATGTCACTCCTATTTTCAAATCAAATAATAAACATAGAGGTGTTCCTTAGGAGTTAATGAAACTATTTTTGCTTCTACTCCAACTTTGTCCTATAAAAAGAATTGAAATTTTTTGTGGAACTTCTATTGGAACCGTTACTTTAGTAAAATCCTCCAAGCACCCCCATGTAGACTCGACTTTTTTCGTGCGCCCTCC